CGGCTGCTGCTGGGCGGCTCGGCTGTACCGCGGTTCGGCGGCCCGGCGGCTTGGCGGCTGCTGCTGGGCGGCTCGGCTGGACTGCGGCTCGGCAGCTGCTGCTGAGCGTGTCGGCTGCTCCGGTACCGGGCGGCGTAGTAGAGAAGGTGAAGGCGGCGGGGCCGCGTAGGTGAAGGCGGCAGGGCCGCGTAGGTGAAGGCGTCGGGGCCGCGAGGGTAAAGGGCGGTGGGGGGCCGCGAAGGTGAGGGCGGCGAGGCCGCGAAGGTAAGAGCGGCGGGGCCGTCAAGGTAAGGGCGGCGGGGCCGTCAAGGTAAGGGCGGCGGGGCCGTCAAGGTAAGGGCGGCGGGGCCGTCAAGGTAAGGGCGGCGGGGCCGTCAAGGTAAGGGCGTCGGGGCCGTCAAGGTAAGGGCGGCGGGGCCATCAAGGTAAGGGCGGCGGGGCCGTCAAGGTAAGGGCGGCGGGGCCGTCAAGGTAAGGGCGGCGGGGCCGCGAAGGTGAGGCGGCGGGGCCGCGTATGTAAGGGGGCGGGGCCGCGACGTGAGAGCGGCGGGGCCGCGTAGGTGAGGCGGCGGGGCCGCGTAGGTGAGGCTGCGGGGCCGCGACGTGAAGGCGGCGGGGCCGCGTCTTGAGGGCGAAGGGGCCGCGACGTGAGGGCGGCGGGGCCGCTTAGGTGAGGCGGCGGGGCCGCGACGTGAGGGCGGCGGGGCCGCGATGTGAGGGCGACGGGGCCGCGACCAAAGGGCGGCGGGGTCGCGTAGGTAAGGGCGGCTCGACGGGCCGCTAGGGGCGACACGAAGGGTCGCTAAAAAAAACGCGCGCCTCGGGGCGCGCTTCGGTAGGCCCTATGAACAGTCCCTAGGAGGGGACCTGCTCTGATACCATGAGAAGAATTGAACGAGAATGGAATGACTATGAATGAAGTGAGTACAAATAGGAAACCCTAATTGGGTTGTACCCCCTATGGGATACCCCACTATAGCCTACACAAATAAGTAAGCTATAATGTTCTGACAGGTGTGCGCGGGTGTCTCGACGTCTTGCAGAGATGGCAGAACGGAGGTACGGGCTTTGGTTGTTGTTGGTTGTTGTTGTTATTGTAGCGTCGCTGAGTGTGAAACGCGAATTCGGGTACTGATGCTTTCTTCTTGTGTCGTTTCTCTTGCAGGTCCATGTCTTGTTGCTCGGCGTGTATTTCGGCGCAGAGTGCTACCTCGGAGATTCTTCCATGAGCTCGGAGAATGGCCTTTGTGGCGCGCCATTGAGGGCCGAGGCCGCCGATGATGACTGTCACGAAGGCGTCTTCAGATATCGACCCTCCGCATCGAAAGAGTTTGACGCACAACTCGCAACAGCGGCTGATATACGCTATTCCCTTTTCGCCTGGTTTCATTTCCACTGTTGTCAATTGCGCCATTAGCCGACTCTGATTAACGCTGTCTGTTGCTTGATACAGGCTCTTCAAGTGGCTGTATGCGAGTTCGGCGGAGTTGCCGTATCCCCGGTAAGACCGTATATTCTACTGCTGGTTCGGGGTGATGTTCGTCAGTAGAATCGTATACGCCATCATTGACCGATAGGTGTACTGCTGCTTCTCGTACTGTGTGCCGTTTGTTGGGTATGGCAGGGATCCGTCGAAGAAGCCAAGAATTTGCGCGCCTTCCATCATTAACTCGAACTTGAACGACCAGGTGAAGAAGTCCTTTCCGTCGAAAGGCCTTGACGACTAAAGTTTTAAAACGTGCGCGAACTGCGACTGAACTTGAAGTGCGTCGAGTGGTTTCTCCTGTCCAGGTGCAGGCTGCGGTCATGGCATAAAGCTGACGGAGCCGCGCTGGGGCTCGTACGGAGCAAAGGTAGGTTGCTGCTGTTGATTTCCACGTGCGTAGGATGAACCGTCAAGGTTCATTGGAGTCACGTCGTTGTTGTTGTTGCTGTTGTTTGACTACGCAGGTACCGATTGCTGGTGTTGTTCGTAGAAGGACATGAAGGAGAAAAACTTCTCCATCATGCTCAAGTCGAAGCCTGCAGGTTGATTCGCACGAGTCTCGGTAGATGTTGCCCTTGGTCTTGTTGCCGTACCCTCCTCTGTCTGTGGGCCAGAGGCAAGAGGTGGAGTAGGAGTAGTGCCAAGAGAACCAATAGAGGAACTCCTTTCCTTCTGAGTAGCCATGTCTTCTGATGTTGTAGGTGTTTTGATAGTTGAATTCCCCCTGATAGCTCTGTGAGGAATGAGGAATGAATGAACTAGCAAGCAGGTGGGTACAAGTAGGAAAACCTAGAAGTGTTGTACCCCATATAGTCTACCCCACTACAGCCTATACAGACTAAAGCATATAAGTTTGACACACCCCCATAGGCAAAGCGGGGGAGAACAAGAGGTCACAAGACCAAACAAGCAAAGCAAAGTAAGCTCAGGGTGGATCACAACGTCACCACACAGTCCGAGCACAAGAGCAAGGCCATAAGGCCAGTTCACATGGAAGATCAAATATATATAGGTAAACAAGCAAGTGCAGGTATAAAAAAATCACAGTACAAGCAAGGTCAAGAAGTGAGCAAGTGAGGCCAAGTAGGCACAAGACCTAGCAACGTACAAAAGCGCTGATGATCACAAGGCGGAAGTGCCTTGGTAAAGATATCAGCAGTGTTGGCCTAAGCAAGGCGCAGCTGGCCACGCTGCTGCAGCTCACGAGCAAGGAAGTAGCGAAGAGCAATGTGCTTCGTTCTGTGCTCCAGTCTGTGCTCCCGACACAAGGCCAGCATGGCCTTGTTGTCTACGTACAGAACTGGAGGAGAACCAGGCGGCTCTCCTAGGTCAGTCAGCAGGTAGGTGAGCCAACGTAGCTCCTGTGCAGCCATGGCCCCCGCGTAGATCTTAGCCTCACAACTGGAGCTGAGAACAGAAGACGAGCGGGTAGACCGCCACGAAACAGAGCCGGTGCCATGGCTGAAGGTGTAACCCTGTGTCGACCGCTGCAGAGCCTGGTAGTCAGCCCAAGAAGCGTCAGCGTGACCTGTGAGGACCACTCGACGTCGCCCTCCAAGCACTAGCCCCATGCCTCACGTACTGCACAAGTAGCGCAACACCCTCTTTGCTGCAGCCATGTGCTCTGGTCGGTGTCTCCCAGGAGCAACATAGCGTGCCAAGATGCTACGAGGGTATGCAAGGTCAGGTCGTGTGCAGGTCATCAGGTACATGAGGCAGCCAACAAGCTCTGGATACGGGCCACTCAGCTCTACGGACTCATCCAAAGGCAGAGCTGAGAGTGAGTGGCGAGTAGACAGAGGAGTGGCCTGAGGCGAGGAGTACGTGAAGTCGAAGCGCTGAAGGACCTGCTGCACCATGTGTGACTGAGTCAGGGTAATGGTGCGCTGTGCTCTGTCCCGGGTGATCTGCAAGCCAAGGTAGCTGCGCAGTTCACCCAGGTCTGTGCACGTGTGTCTCTTCTGTAGCTCGGAATTAACGTGGGCGAGTCCAGCAGTGCCAAAGACAAAGTCGTCGACGTACATGAGGATGTAGAATGGCGGCAAAGAGGTGTCAGTGCGCAGAAACAGCGACGAGTCGGCTGTAGAAGGAGCAAACCCAAGAGCCGCAAGTGTAGTCCTCAGTGTGTCGTGCCACTCACTGGGCGCCTGGCGGAGACCGTAGACTGGCCGCTGGAGGCTCCACTTGGTACCAAGGGGAAACGACCAAGTGAAGCCAGGTGGGCGGCGCAGCCAGATCTCCTCGTGCAGGCTGCCCTGCAGGAAAGCTTGTGCTGAAGTCAAGAGAGTGAAGCTCGTAGTCGCCCTGAGCGGCTATGTGCAGCAGCACCCGAAGAGTGGTCATCTTAGGGGTGGGAGAGAAGGTCTGAAAGTAGTCAACTCCCTGCCGCCGACTGAAGCCTCGAGCCACAAAACGCGCCTTGAAGACAAGCGGAGAACCCGGCGGCCGCTTCACCCTGAAAATCCACATGCCACTGACGATGTTCGCCCCAGGTGGGGGAACCTTGTCGACGTAGGTGCCTGTGGACTTCCAGGAAGCCATCTCTGCGTCCATGGCTGACTGCCACTGTGAGGAGTAGGGACCCTCGATCGCCTCAGCGTACGATCAAGGAGTCGGGATATCTGGTGCATCCGAGTCTCCCTCAGGGGCAATCAGGCTCGACTGCGTCTACCTGGGACACACCTGACGGGCAGGACCCTAAGGGGGGAGGGGGTCTACCGGGGGAGGACCTGGCGCAAGGAAGAGCAGCGGCGGGGGAAGGGGCGCAGTGCGGTAGGGGAAGAGACGGTAGTAAGGTACCGACTCGTCAAAGGTGACGTCTTGGGAGGACAGAACACGGCGCGAGGTGTGGTGGTAAAACTGCCAACCAGGCGCGTCAGGAGGGAAGCCAAGGAAGACGCAGGGAACAGCACGGGGGGACAGCTTGTCCGCAGACAAGTCGCGGACAAACGCCCGAGATCCCCAGACCGAAAACGCAGATGCATCGCCAACCTTCCCCGTCCACCGCAAGGTGGGGGAGGTCTCTGGTAAGGAGACCCGGGGCTGAAGGTTGAGCTGATGCGCTGCGTACTGAACCGCAAACAGCCACAGAAAATGGGGGGCAGCCGCATGGATCATGGACGTACGTGCGACGTCCATGACCATGCCAATGCGGCACTCAGCAATCCCATTTTGCTGAGGAGAGGCCGGAAGCGTGAAAGTCTGGCGGATGCCCTGTGCACGACAGAAGGCTCCCAAACGGGCAGAGGAAAACTCCTCGCCTTTGTGAGAGTGCAGACGCAGAACAGGAAAGTCCGAGCCGAAACTCTCCTTCAGCTGGAGTCGAGCTGCGCGGATCCAGTCAATCAACACCTCAGTGACGTCACCCTTGCTGCGCAAGGGGAAGACTGTGGTGTAACGCGAGTAGTCGTCAACCACCAACAGGAAGTAACGCTCGTCCCCCTGTCCACGGACGTGGGCGGGGCCCCACACGTCCATGTGGAGAGTCTGCAGCGGAGCCTCTGTCGGAGGAAACTCAGAGGAGTGAGGGGCGGCGCGCTGTCGCCCCTCGACGCAGGGGACGCATGTAGGGGCAGGCCCCGGAGGTAGGGGAGGGAGAGACAGGGGGAGACCAGAGACAAGGACACGGGAGGCCATCTCTCGGAGACGAGGCAGGAAGGGGTGACCAAGGACACGGGAGGCCATCTCTCGGAGACAAGGCAGGAATGGGTGACCAGCACACGTGCAGTGGGTCACCCGCTGACTCGCAGGAGTGAACTGGTCAACCCCCCTATCCTGTAGGTCCGCTCCACTCACCAAGTTTGTAGAGAACGAGGGTAGGTAGAGACGTGACAGGGTGCCAGAGGGGGCTGCCGGGCATGGTAAGACAGTGGAGAAGCTAGCAAGGACAGGACCCCTAGAGGGGTCCGCCAGGGAGACTGCAATCGGCCGACTAAGCGGCGCAAGCGTGGTGCGGTCTCGAAAGGAGCGGGAAGCACCCGAGTCAAGGGTGAAGGTGTGTGACGCCTGAGCCAACGTAGTACCTGAGAGAGCAGACTCACCAGCACCTGGGGCAGCAGACGCACTAGCACTTGGGGCAGCAGATGCACTAGCACCTAGAGCAGCAGCCTCACCAGCACCTAGAGCAGTAGCCTCAATGCCTGGGTCAGGCGGTACACACAGGTAACAGTCACCCTCAACACTAGCAGACACAGCATACATGGCAGCAAGGATAGCATCATATTCAAGATCAAAGATGGCAACCCCCGCCCTAGACAGATCTCCCCAGCAAGGGATCTCTTACGCCTCAGGGAACTGGTGACGCCACGCGTCCGTCAGGTGGCCGAAGCAGCGCTGGGTGGAGTGCGGGCCCCCGCACTGCTCACCTGCGCGGTCGCCGGTACGGAGGACGTAAGTGCAGGGACCAGTACCCCCACGCCGCTGACGCGCAGCGTACCACTCACGAAGCTGCTGAGGGGACAGGGTCTCACGACTGCGCAGCTGCTGCTGGCGCGGACCACCACCGGACCCACTCGTCTGCGCAGAGTCGCGACCAGCTCCACCGCCGCCGCCGACGCCTCCGCCGCCTCCGCCACCTCCGCCGCCTCCGCCACCTCCGCCGCCTCCGCTCCCTCCGCCACCACTGCCGCCTCCTCCGCCTCCACTGCTACCACCACCGCCGCCACCCCCGCCACCACTCCCACCACCACCCCCGCCCCCTCCACTGCCTCCACCACCACCTCCACCGCCCCCGCTAGCCCGTCCAGCTCCCTTGCCCCCCTTGCCCTTGCCGGTGCAGCGTCTCTCCCTAGGGGCAGACGCAGCGCCGACCCCGTAGAAACCAACGAGGTCGGCGGCAGCAGTAGAAGCAACAGAGGGCAAGAGGGGGGATGGGGAACACCCTTCAAAGACGAGGGTGCGAGGGCTACCACGAGAGGCTCCTACAGCAACTATGCTCTTCTCTACTGCTAGGAGGCGCTCCTCGAGGAGGTCAATGGTGAGTGTGGTGGGGCAAACTGAGAGGAAGTGGTCCCTGACTAAGCGAAGAGAGTCAGGGAGCTGGGTGACTATGTAGTAGAGGGTGATGTACATGGGGGGGGGGGGTTCTTGGCGCAGAACTTAGTAGGAAGCGCAGCGCGGTAGCGAGTGTCACTAGTGCGGAGGTGCGTAATGAGGTCAGCGACTATGGGAAAGGCAGCAAGGTCAGGGAAGAGGTACGGTAGCATGAGGCGGCTCAGTGCAGCAGTGGCAGGGGAAGAGTAGCGTGCAACTACAGCGTTGTACAAGGTCTGAGCACTCTTGTACTGGCTAAAGTGCGCACGCTCAGTGGTCGGTAAGTGGTAGCAGCATCGCGTGTTGCCCACTATGAGCGAACAGTGCTGTCAGCAGTAGCAGGCGGGGCAGGGGAGGCACCTAGAGGTGAGGTCGAACAGGGAGAGGCCGTCTGCCCTATCGCATTGGAGGAACAGCTGGAGGTCATCGACCCAGACCTCAAAGTCAACAGCACGACCCTTAGTATCAAAGGTAAGAACACTGGGGGTAGCCATGACTGCAGTGGCCTAGCAAGGAGTGAGCTCACCAGTCCGAGTAAGTAGGGCTGGGGCGCACCGGTAGGACGAGGAGCGGCTCGACGGCAGGGCGGCTCGGCTGCTGGGCGGCTCGGCTGTCAAGCGGCTCGGCGGTTCGGCTTCTGGGCAGCTCAGCGGCTCGGCTGCTGGGCGGCTCGGCGGCTCGACGGCTCGGCTTCTCGGCGGCTCGGCGGCTCGGCTGCTGGGCGGCTCGGTGGCTCGGTTGTTGGGCGGCTCGGCTGCTGGACGGCTCGGCGGCTCTGCTGTTGGGCGGCTCAGCTGCTGGGCTGCTCGGTAGGGGCGGCGTTGGGGCCGCTAGGGGCGGCGACGGGGCCGCTTAGGGAGGGGAGGGGCGACGGGGCCGTGTAGTGGCGGCGACAGGGCCGCTTAGAGGCGGCGACAGGGACGCGTAGGGGCGGCAACGGGGCCGCTTAGGGGCGGCGACGGGGCCGATTAGGGGCAGCGACGGGGCCGCTTAGGGTTAGAGGCGGTGACAGGGCCGCTTAGGGTGAGAGGCGGCGACGGGGCCGGTAGGGGCGGCAACGGGGCCGCTAGGGGCGGTGATGGGGCCGCGTATGGGCGACGCCGGGGCCGCGTAGGGTGAGAGGCGGCGACGGGGCCGCGAGGGGCGGCGACGTGGCCGCTAGGGGCGTCGACGGAGCCGCGTAGGGGCGGCGACGGGGCCGCGTAGGGTGAGAGGCGACGACGGGGCCGCTAGGGGCGGCGACGGGGCCGCTAAGGGCGGCAACGGGGCCGCGGAGGGGCGGCGACGGGGCCGCGTAGGGGCGGCGACGGGGCCGCGTAGGGTGAGGCGGCGACTGGGCCGCTAGGGGCGGCAACGGGGCCGCTAAGGGTGACGACGAGGCCGCGTAGGGGCGGTAATGGGGCTGCGTGAGGTGCGGCGACGAGGCCGCTAGGGGCAACTAGGGGCCTGGAAAGGGTGGCAAAAAGGTGCGCCTCGGGCAGGAGCGACTGGCGCTCCGGTCATGAAAGTAAATTTTCAGTGGTGGGCCCAAGGAAGCGTTCCCACTAGGGAACCTGCTCTGATATCATGTGAAAAATGAGGAATGAATGAACTAGCAAGCAGGTGGGTACAAGTAGGGAAACCTAGAAGTGTTGTACCCCATATAGTCTACCCCACTACAGCCTACACAGACTATAGCATATAAGTTTGACAAGCTCTAATACGATGTTGGGCTGAGAAAAGCCCTTAGGATCTTTGCAGGGGTGAACTCTGGGTAGGACTGATGTAATAGCGGAAGCGTTTCAATAAAGAGTTGTGAACCACCTTGCGCTAGTATGTGAGGGCAAAGTAGAGTGATTGAAACAAAGAGATACAGGATTATATAAGAGTACAAGGAATACGAAGAGATACGGTTATAACTACTTTACTGTTGCTGTTGCGGCTCGATACAGTGACGACTTGGGCAACTGCTCTGTAGCGAGTCAATTGTGTGTCCTTGCTGTCGCGTTGTACTTGTCAGGTCAAAGGTCGCTAACCTTTGACTTTCGCGTAACCTCCAGCAGTTGCTCAACCTCCGAGGGTTGACTCGCTGATGCTGCGATATGTTGTGCTTCGCTTGTGCCTTGGTGTTTCGACACGACAGAGGCGCTTAGAATTAGTTGTTTCCAACAGTTGCAAACAACTGTCAAATATGACAGACAGTAGTGAGGCATGTTATGTAAGGTACAAACATTAGGGTTTGTTATATGTGCCCAAATTGATTCCAATGACAATATCCTTTCCCACTATGAGATGGTATCAGTTAGGTGAGACTAGGATCTGTCAGTGGAGCTGTAGTGTGAGATCCTCGATCAATCATAGGGGGGTTACATGCGCGTTCGCGTTGTGGGTTATAGGCGCACGGATCCGCTACACAAACAAGCTCTTTCATCCCGATGCTCTAGTGGTTGGGATTCTAACATGGTATTAGAGCGGTCTCGGGTTCCAATCCTAGTGTATGCACTTAAGGCCGTTGCCGATGTGCTCAGTTTGGGCGGGTGTCAGTAGAGCTGCACTATAAGATCCCTGATTGATCCTAGAGGAGTTACATGCGCGTTCATCTAGGGGGTTAGGGGCGCACGGACCTACTACACAAACAAACACATTTATCCCAATGGTCTAGTGGTTGGGATTCTGATAGGATCCACGCCCGTAGCATCTTTAGCACCCGATGCGCCCGTAGCGCTTTCATCACCCGATGCGCCCGTAGCGCCCGTCGCGCCCAGCTCGTAGCGCCCTGCCTGTCGCGCCTGTTGCGCCCCGCCGGTCCCTCCCGTCGTGCCCCGCCAGTCCCTCCTTGTAGTGCCTTGCCCGTCGCGCCCATAGAGCCCTGACTGTCGTGCCCTGTGCTCTGCGCGTCCGCGCTCCCTGCGCCCTGCCCGTATGCGTCCGTAGCGCCTTGCTCGTCACGCCAGTTGCTCCCCGCCCGTCGCGCCCGTATCGCCCTGCCCGCCACACCCTGCGCCCTGCCCATCAGCGCCCTAAGCGTCCGCGCCCCTCGAGCCCTGCGCGTCCGTGCCCCTTGTGCCCTGCCTGTTGTGCCCTGCACGTCCGCGCCCTTAGCGCCCTGCCCATTCCGCCCGTGTCCAGCGCCCTGCCCATCGTGTCCGCGCCTGCGCCTGCGCCCGTGCACCACCGTGTTGCGCCAGTCCCGGCTGCCCCCTGCCATCGCGCCCTGCCATCGCGCCCTACCGTCGCGCCCTGCTGTCGCGCCTTGCCGTCACACCCTGCACCCTGCCGTCGCGCTCTGCGCCCTACCGGTCGCGTTCTGCCTTTCGACTTGCCCGTCCTGCGCAGCCTACCTACTATGCTCAGGCTTTCTCGGCAGATGGCAGCCGCATCCTCCCCCACTACCTAGTCAGCTATGGGGAACACTAGAGTTCTCCGCTTCGATGCTGAGGGTAGACCAATGGAGTTCTTGGTCTAGCTTCTTCATGCGCAGCGCCTATTAGAGAGTCAGTGTCAGGCTCACGAGACCCTCTGGGCACACGCCTCCGGTGACCTCCTTGCGCCGCCTGCCTCAGTTGCACTAGGCGCTGATCCCACTGTTGCAGACAGAGAGCGCTTTGCAAAGGAGCGGGCTGCCCTTACACCTTGGAAGTCCTGCAACGCAGTGGCTTGCATCACTCTCAGCAGCCTCTTCCCTGAGTCTAAGGAGGCGCACTTCACTCAGGTTCGCTCTGCTAACGAGTTCACCACTTTGGTTAAGGCCCGCTGCTCCACTCCCACCACTGTCTCACTTGGTCGCCTGTTCCTCCCATTCCTGTTTCCTGACCTCCTTTGAGCGCTCTGCTGACTTCATCACTCACCTGCGTTCACTAGACTTGAGCTACCGCGCTGCCTTGCCGATGCACAGCTTGCACTGCTCCCCCCCCCCCTATGGCGATCACTATGTATTTTATCCTCACTAGCCTCCCTGACCACCTTGCCACTATTCGCGACGCGCTTCTGCTGAAGCACCCTAACGAGCTCACTATCGATGTACTTGAGACTGTGTTCAAGGACGGTGAGAGCAACTTCCGCTCGGTAGCTTCCGCCTTGGGCGTTGTGCCCCCCTTACGGTTTCAGCGGTGCACTGTCCCATAGGTGCCCACCTTTACTGCCTCCATTGCATCTACCGCGATCGACGAGACCGCGGCCCCTGCCACAACCTCTGCAATGTCCAGAGACAGGGGTGGCAGGAGGGGCGGCAAGGGTGCGAGCAGTAGCGGAGGTAGCGGAGGCGGCGGAGGTGGGGCGGCCAGCGATGGTGGAGGGAGCGGAGGAGCTGGTGACGAACCTAGTGCAACCACTAGTGGCTCGCGTGATGCGGCTGGTGAAGGTGACACTAGGGGTGGTCAAGGACCTGCAGGGTTGCCACCCGTAGGCGCAGGAGTGGTAGCCTAGTACCTCGCTCATCGGTAGCAGCAGCAGCAGTACCCCTCGCGCTCGCAGCAGCCACAACAGCAGCAGATATAGCAGCAGCGTCTAGGCCAGCGTCCGCTGTCACGTGGCGACGCCCACCCGCCCTGCCTGTACTTCGTTCAGACCGGAACTCGTAGTGGCTACCACTGTGGCCGCCGTCACCCACCGGGTCACTGCTTTGCTCAGCGCAATGACCGTCTTTGTGCGTCGTACGGTGCAGACAACCCTGCGCCTGAGTGGCTCTATCTTGTTCACTTGCACGGTCCCACTTTGTAGAATATGTCTGCATCTCAGTTGCTTGATCTGTTAGGATCTGTGCACGCTGTGTATGCTGATGTTGACTATAGTGCCCCTAGATCTGTTTGCTCCCATGTTCATAGCTAATGTGCTATTGTTGTTCTTGTGCCCGTTGCTACTGTAGGTGTTTGTATAGGTGCTAGTCCAGGTGCCACTTCGGCGGACGCGTCGCTGTCTTTTACACTGGACTCTGGTGCATCGCAGTGTTTCTTCCGCGACCATACGACTCTTACTCCGCTTCCTGCATCGGTCTCTATAGCATTGGCTGATCCCACTTTGAGACCAGTCATTGCTCGCCACTTTACTCCGCTTCCGTGCACGGCCACCCTTCAGGTTCCCTGATAGGCCTCCACGTCCCCTCGTTCGCTAGGAACTTGGTGGGCGTGAGGCCTCTTGTGAGTCAGTACGTTGGTGTCTGGTTTGAGCCTTCTGGGGAATTTGTGAGCTATGTAAACGGTGACACGTTCGCCCCTCTGGCCACCTTTCGAGCCGGGTTCTGGTCTCTACACGCTCCGCACTGGCCCCCAAGAGAGGCTTCAGCTTGACCAGCAGTAGCACTGGCAGCAGCGTCCTCCTTCGACCCCTGTCACTGCCCCCCATCAGGTCCCAATGTCCCGCCTGGTAGCTGTGTCTGGTCAAGTTACGGCGTCCGGTCAAGTTGCTGCGTCGTGCTCATGTCGGTCGCTTGCCCACCCTACCGTCCTGAGGCACCACCGACTTGGTCACCTGTCCCTTCCCCGCCTATGCACTATGTCCAGTCAGCGTCTTGTGTTAG